ACGCAACGAGCTCTAAAATAGTATCTCTTTCAGAAGCGCCAAAATTAGGAGACCCTTTCTGTTTTGCAGCCATGAGTGAAAACAAAATTTTAAAAAGGTCTCGAACTTCAGTTAGAAACAATACAGACATGCAGAACAGAACGAAAAATACAGAGTTGCCGGTTATTGCCTGAGGCTTAGCTAAGAACACGTGAAAAACGGATGGTGTAACTCATTGAAACTTCGCTCTTAAGTCGGACTTAAATTTTAAGGTATACTTAGTTAAGGACGTGCTTAGAAGAAGTTTGGTGCAAGTGGGCATAACCCAAACAAACCCAACAAATCGCATCTTCCTTAACGTTAACGTCTAACGTTAGTGGCAACAGAGCACAACAGAGACAAGTGGCAATTGGCAATTGACAATATCACATCACCAAATAACCCCCCTTAGAATGGTAACTGAATGGGGCTAACTGTAGATGCTCTTTGGTTGCGGGGCGCCGCTAGATGCGGACATCGGTTTAACATAACAGGAACAAACATGGGTTGCGAACAGTAAATTAATTACCATATTGTTGTTGCAAAAGTCCAGAATTCAGCAACAAATGGTTCTAACTGGGTTGATGAAAACGTATTTAATAAAATATTGCATTATAAGTTCGCTTTTATTGACCGAAATCTTTACTAAATTGATAACTGTAAGGAAGCTTGCAGCTTTCGGCCTGATAAAATTTGCTGAATGCAATCATCAGGAATAAAATATTAGATAAATGACCACATCCTTATCGAGTTTCACGCGAGTCGCCGTCAGGGGCGCTAAACGTATATTCAAAATTATCATTACAGTTTCAATTCTAAGGGGGTGTGTTCTGTGCACAGATTACCTCTTTCTGTGGTTCTGTGTGTCACATTTTTGTTTATGTTGGAAATGGAACGTTTTCTGACAAGCTATGTTTTCCATTTTTTTTATTGTAAATGAAATATCAATTATTATTTACTAGTTTCCAACTTTTACACGATGTTTATTGTTTTCATTTGATTGCGTACTATGAAACTAAGAAAAAATGAATTCAAAGTCAAAAGCTATTACTTTGATGTTATTGTTAGCATGTGTGTTTTATTTTTCTGCAGGTAGCGTTAATATTAAGGACATATCTAATAAATTGGCAGAAGATGTAAAAATACTGAAAAATGAGGAAATGGGATTTTTATTTAGTGAGGTGAGTATATTGGGTAACTTCATGTTTAAACAGCGTGATAACTAACAATGTGCTAGAAGCTAAAAAAATCCTACCCTGAGGTAACGGCCAATAATTAATGTTTACAATTCACTACGTGCTCTGTGCTTCTATTGTAGTAGCTAATGTAATAAGAAAACATCTTGAGATATTACAAAATGTTAGTACAATTAACAGCTGCTGAATGCGAATAACTCTTGAACACGAATTGAAAACGTCTTTGAAATCTAAAAAAAATAATTCTACAATATTTTGAGCTCAAAACAAATAATTCAACAACATCGTGTTGCCCTTATAAAGATGAGCAAAGAATCATAACACCATGATTATTTTTCCAATACCTAATTAAACAGTCAGTGAAATACTTTAATACATATGGGCCCAATACCCTAAGAACTACAACTATTCTTTTTGTCGAGTCGATCAAAACTACCCTTCTTTCTTTTAATGCATATGTAAATTTGTTATACATAGTCCAGATTGCTCTATTGATTTAGACCTATGATCCTCAATCTCTTCTATATACATAGCAAACCCACTTTTATTTACAGTTAAAAATTAACAATTAAAAAAACATCAGTTGTTCCTAATTAGATAATTTATTATAGAAATTGTTTCACAATTTGAGAACTGTACCCTCTGAATTAAATTCAGTGTCTTCTCATTTACAACAAATGGTAGAAAAGCTGGAAAACAAAATAAACAGCGTTTTTTCTGCTATGGACGATGCTACACAAATATTGTCTGAGTTGAGTTCAAATAAAAACGAGCCTTCATCCGCATTATTGCCATGTGCAAAGGAAAAAACTGTAGTAGTAGATGCAGTACTAGGTGCTAACTTAATGAACAGTAGCAATATAAGTAATGTCCTGGGTTCAAAATACAGTAAGTAGTTATTTAAACTGCCAACTAATTATTAAATGGCTAAGTAAGTAAGTAATTTCAGTTTTGTATCAAATGAGAAAAAACGTTACCAAATACAAGCCACTCTCAAATGCCCTAAAGCAGGAATACATTATATCAGAACAAGATTTAAATGATCTGCAATATTCACAGTTTTCTGAATGTCTAGGACATGATGAGACAATTATATGGAAAAACTACATGTCACATCAGAATTATTTGAGAAAGAATATTGTTTTATTGCTTGATCATGGTGGTTCATTGAGCAAGAGACAGCTGCACATTTCAAAGTCAATAGGTAGGTCTATGTGATGTGATATGAAGATCATTTATATTTTAACTGCTCTTATTCACAGCCAAACAAATGCTGGGATCTCTAAGCGAAAACGACCAAGTTGCATTAGTAGCTGTAGCTTCTAATTGGTCACTTCCTGATCGAGATTGTTCGGATAATCAATTATTGAAGCCATCGATATGCATGAAATCTGCGAAACCTTCTTATTTATTGAAGTTAAATAATTTTATCGACTCCCTTGCTAAAGGAAGTGGTGAGTAGCCTAATTGGTCGTCATCCGATATATAGGGTGTCTTAAAATAATGTACAAATATTTGAAAAGAAAAATATGCCAAATAATAAAAACTTTGAATTTTTGTCAAAAAAAAACTGTTGTTGCTATTATTCGATTTCAAACCAACGTATTCGTTTAGGTGCTACAAATCATGTGATGGGTATTCAAAAAGCATTGGAAGTCGTGTTAAAAACGTCTAATCTAACGCCAGATGATATAACTGTGATAATTTACATTAGTCGGGGGTTATTGTCATCTCTAACAGAAGCTAGACGTGTACTGACGGTAATGGCTCAGCAAACAAATTTTGTACATTTTCCAATTTACATTCATACATGTGCAGTTATTGATGGTACGTATAGCAAATGTTGGTGTCATTATTATTATTGTAACATATTTCATTTTTATAGAAATGAAGTCTGTAATGTATGAAACTCATTTTCTTCGCGATGTAGCTGACCAGAACTTTATGAAACACAACATTTCGCATTCGAACAATTACTTTCGGAAACCTGGTTACATGATGACTGTTAATAAGACTGAAGATATAGGCTTTGTTATGAATAAGTTCTTTAGCATTTTTAATTCGCACTCTGGATTTAACACAAACAAAAAAATTTCTTTGCCATACTGGGACCTGCAAAGCGGCGGTAAGTAAACGCCATCGTTGGCAGCAAAAAGAGCTACACAATTGTTTTGTTTTTAGAATTTACAGTTTCTTTTACGAGAGGCCATACATCAGAAAATACTAAGAGTTTTACGATGATCGGAACTGACGTATATTTTTCCAACATGGTTGAGGATGTAACTTACTATAGCAGTGATCAGCAATATTCGTATGCATTTCTGATTGATTTAGAGGGTCGAGTATTGGTTCATCCTTCAATTTTGCGACCGTCGGTCATCAGCCATCAACTGTCCTTTGTCGATATTAAGTATATTGAAACAGTACCTGATATTAAATTTTTAAGGCAGATATTGCTCTCTGAATATAAAGGAAATCATCTTACGAAGAATAATATGGGTCAGGAGGTAAGCCCTTTAGTACATATATGAATGTTATGTTGATAGAAATCTAAATAATTGTCAAACTTTTCATCAGAACCGTAATTATTTAACCGCACGTTATTGCCCGGGTGAACATCTAAAATGCACACACACTTAGGAAACGCGAGAAATTAAATATAATGATATAAATAGAACTATTGACATGCATCACAGGAAGAGAAACACCAAAAAATTTCATAAAAACACAACAACAGCTATTTTTTAAATTAATTATAACCAGGTTTGGAGAGCTCGTTTGGAAACACATACATATCCAATGGCGGATCCAGCTTTCGAGTCAGGAGGGGGGTCAAGTAGTAGAAATTCAGTCTTTTGTTGCCCATGAAATTAGAAAAATTCTCGTTAGTCGTTAAAAACCCGGTACAAGAGGGGGGG